CTGAATACTAGGAAAGAGCTCCCAGCCTCAGTGGCAGCGCCATGACAGTGGTGTTTGGCTAAAGCATATGATCACACTGGCGACTTGGGGCACATCCTATATGCCAGCACCACAGATTCCCGGTGTCCATGAATAGCCCCTGAGGGGTCAGGGGTTGTCCATTAACCACTCCTTGGGGGTCCTGGTGGAGCTTTTCAAGATTGCTTTGCCGGCCGGGTGAAAATGCATGAGAGCTGCACCCCACAGGCTCTCTCAAAACATGGGTTTTATCAAGGCCTTCTTCTTTCTAACAACTCTCAAGCCAATCAACTATGAGCCTGGAGGGGTGTGTGTGTGTATAGATATATCGACCGCGCGAAACTCCCACCACCACATCCCACCAGTAGTGGCATAAACAGAGCGGATCAACACCAAAACGAGAATCCCTTTCCAGAACGAGATCGAACGAGTGTGCAGCCGAGGGAATCCGCGGAAACACGAGGCCTGCAGCAAAACCAGCCACTAATACCAAGCTTGGTGGCTTTTGTGACACCAATTGCAGCTGGTGAGCAAACCCAGTGGCAAAGACAAAGCCAAGGCATAGGGGAAGCTAGGTACGTTAGGCATCAAGGATGCATGTTAAACTCCAGACTCCTTGACTGCTCTCTCCACAGCGTCCTGGGCTTGTCGAAAGAGCAACCTCACGGCATTGAAGGCCCATGTGGAGGCTGTGCGACTCATATCGCGGCTGGCCTCATCTCATGACGCCTCTCGCAGTCCCGTGAGGCGACCCTGAACGATGTGGATTGAGAGTAGATGGCACAAACCCCCAAGAGGTGGCTTATATGAACCGCCATGCTTTTTCGGTCTGTGCCATCCACTCCTGGAAGAATCATGCTGGAAGGGGCATAAAGTGCCCCTGGGACCATTTCACTCCACCCATGATTAAATCTGATTCCATTCAAGGAGTGTGTGAATGAAACATGAGTCGAACCGCCTGGTCTGACAGATCTTGTGTGGACAGGTATGCATGAAATATGTGTTCTTTAGAGTGTGCAAGGCCAACATGACACAGGATCGGATGGTGCAGATGCGCACCAAGGGCTCCAGCAAGAGATAAATTACATTATAACTATACAGTATAGCATTTTGCCACATTTATGGCTTGAAAGTCAGTGCGTGCAGGAACATCTTCACCAAACAATGGTGGTTGTGGAACCCTGAACTCCCCAAACGACCTGCACCTGGTGCCGTAAAACACGCCTTTGGGTCGCTGGACGGTGCTGTTCGGGTCACTCTCCGACCTGGTCACGTTCCTTCCCGCCCAGGTGCTGTAATCACCACCAGTGGCTTCCTGCAGTGGGAGGGTCCGGTCTTCAAGATGGGCTGGGATCTGCGGATCAGAGCTGGGTGTCCTCTACTCCCCCCTCTGGATGGCGCCATGCACCATGGGCCCTAGAAGACCGCTCTATACCAACGGGGAAATGGTCCACTTCCAATGATTGTTGGAGGGAGGGTATCTTGCGGACACTGGCTTACTGGCCCCAAGCCTTGGCACCGAGCTAGATCTCGGAGCAACCCCTCCAAGCCAACCAACATCCGGTCACACTGACAAGAATAGCCTCAACGGTCCCTCGTAAAGGGCCGGGAGGCGGCGAGGCCCTTTAGGGCCCCAACATCTCTTCCACTTCTGCCCGAGATGGGGGGTGGATGCTGCCGCTCGCTAAATGAACAGCAGGGCCACCGAAAACGCCGTGGTTTGGATCAAAGGAATGCTCGTCTTTTTGCTGGCCGTGGGCGCCAAACATGGGGCGCCATAGTTGTCGTGTGGGGCCAAGACCCTTCTTTGTTCCTATAGGACTTGAGAGAGGAGGGGGGTGAACGAAAGGTAGCAGGGAATCAGGCGTAATCCGGGAGGAGGTGAGAGGCCCCCCACTTGTTTGAAGAGAAGTGAGTGAGCGTGATGAAAGAAAAACTAATGCACAAACGCTTGACAAAACCTCCAGAAGCTGTAGCGGTCTAGCGGTTTCAATACAGGTTGACGTGCCTTCAAAAGGAGTCACATATTTCTCAAATGCAACTTCGGATTTACATAGTGACGTGCGGCGACCCTGTCAATTGCGTGGCCGCAGGCCATGCTTGCAAACAGGACGTGCTCAAAAACACTGGTATTTACGAGGTTTCGTTGCCGTCGATCCACAGCCGCGGCAAGGTCTAAGGCCACGCTTGAAGACAGGAGGAGCTGAAAACACTGGTATTTACGGTATTTTGTAGCCGTCGATCCAAAGGCGCACCATGGTTGAGCGCTGGAAAAGCGCAGAAAACCGTGTAAATACCGGCGTTTTCTGCCGGGAAGGTGCACAAAACCCTGTAAATACCATAGTTTTGTGCAATTTTGAAGCCTCCAAAAGCCTCAAAAACCCTTTCTGACAAAATCTTTCCAGGTTTTTGGTCTTTTTTCGGTCATTTTTCTAACCGAGACGCATCAAAAACCATCGGTTTTTGCGGTGTTTTTTTGCCGGACAGCCACAAAAAACGCTGTAAATTCCATGATTTTTGGTCACTGCTGAGGACTGGAAGAGCTGAAAACACTGATATTTACAGTGTTTTCGAACCGTTGACCCCGAGGCGCGCTAGGGTGGAGTTGAAAGGGGGGGGGGGGGGGG